TCAACTGATGAGGTCATTGGTTGTCAGGACACCGGCGGGTAGAAGGTCATAATGGTTCACAGTGAAAACCTGTGGCTTTGTGTAACTAAAAGGCAGACTTGTTCCACCTGCTGGCTTGTATTTAAGTTTTGTGCAATTTTTTTTACATTTTTCCAAGGCACCCCTGAAGAAACCTCAAGGCACCCTGGTTGAGAAAGGCTGGCCTAAGCTATTCAGTATATTTAAAGTCAGATTAAAAATAATGCTATGTGCATTTGCAGTTTGGCACCCCATAACAGAAAGCTACTTGAGGACCATAAATCTAAAAAACTCAACAAAGTTTTATAATCGTATCTCCTATATTTATATACATACTCTCCTCCTGCCACCCCTCCCCACAGCCACTGTTACTAGCAAATACAGGTGGTTAAAATTACTCCTAGGAATTGTTGTGTATTAACTAGCAGGAGCAACTGTCAAAATGCAGTCACTCCTGCTTAAAAAGACACTTGCAGATACTCTATAAGTATTGCTGGGTAATACAGTAACAATATACTGTTGCATTGGAGTCTATTTACTAAGGCAAATAATCAATTCAATTTGCATTATTAAAGAAAAAAAAATCCTCAGAAAAAAAATCCCCTTTGCAATCACACAAAAAAGCTGCTTGCACACGTTATTTGCTTTTAGTAAATCAACATTATTGCATTTAATATTCTATTCATATGTAGATCAAAGGTATGACCAGGGGCAGACTGACCATTTGGAAACTCAGGCACTGCCCGAGGGCCCGGGGTTAGTAAGGGGCCCCATGAGATGCCCCTGGTACCTTTTTCATAGGCTTTTTTGAGTTTGGGCAAGGACACAGGGGCCCCATGACCCCCTATTGCCCGGGGGCCCCATGAGTTGTCAGTCCGCCCCTGGGTATGACCTTTGATCTGCATATAACATCAGCTAAGGAAACCTTGAAAGTTAAAAAATATATTTTAAATATAATGTATTCCTACTTAATAATTATTTAATCCTTAGTTAACCCTAATCATCATTAATTAACCCTGTCCTCCCCTCTTTGTCCCTTAGCTATTATTTTTTTCAGATTTTTCATTAGTTTTTTGGTTATTTTTTTCCAGTGTTGCATGAAAAATGTCGTAGTCATGCTGTGAACCAGGAGCATTATTTTTTATGTCAGGAAAAATTATAGACTAAAATGTATATTTTTTTATTTACAAAAAACTATATTAACAAAACCTAACAGTAGTCAAAATACATTTTGCAGGAAACTATTGCCAACAAAGCCTAGTTTTATCCACCAAAAATACAATGTGTGCATTACTTTGTCAGCTTAAGCAGTGACAGTTATTGCTGAACAAACAGGCCCACAGTGGAAATGTAAACACTGATTCAGACCAAAAGGTACTTGTTAAACCTTATATTAGACTCCAGTGCTGAAATATACTCAAACTTAGAAAATGGCACATGATTGGGTCTGAGTGACAAGTGCACTTTATAGCTTTTCTGTTAGAAAACTAAGCATCTGTTTCAAACGCTCTGATGAAAGTAGCCATAATCTGACTGTCAGGCTACATATTTTATGGTTAAGTTAAGCTTGGTCATTTAGCCCGACTAAACTACTGAAAACTCAAAAATAGAAAAAATAGAAATTATATATATATATATATATATATATATATATATATATATACAGTATATGGATCCAAAAATTTATACACACTTCAACATGAAAAATATATGTATAAAAATGTTATAACTTTTTTTTATATGAACATCAAAGGATAGCTGCAAGTCATGTTTGAATTATGCAATCACATTATGTGCTCAGGTAGGTCAACATTAGCATCCAGGCACTTTTGATTTAGGTGAACTACTGCATGAACAATATTGACTAGAGTATCCACAGGAATTGCTCTGCATGATGTTTCAATTTCTTCCCGTAGTACAGTCATTGTAGGTGGTTTTCTACATTACACCACATTCTAAGGTGTTCCCCACAGATAGAGATATCCAGTGTGCTCTCTTCAGAATACATTGTATGCTTGATCTGCTAATTCCTGTCTCACATGCACATTGTTTGACAGACTTTTGCGATGAGCATGTAAACTGTTTCAACACCATATCCGAGGAAGCAGACCTTGTTGCTGTGCGACACCTCCCAGATCTTTGTGCAAATCACACACAGTGGCATCGGTTTCAAACTTATCATGAATTTATGCAATTATTAGTTGTCTTGGTGGTTCTGTTCCAAATTCACGTCACCATTGTCATTGAACTTCACACAGTTTAAAATTTACCATAACACTTCAACATGGTCTTGTGTTGCTCAACAGTTAAACGTACATCCTCTATTTTCTTTGACTCTCTCCTGACGGTGACATGATTACGTCAACAATGGTGCCACTATTGACATCATTCTGGGAAACATAATACTACACATTGCTGCCATAATTCAAGTTGGGTATTAAGAAAGGGAAAGAGGTAACAACTGTTGAAGTGTGTATACATTTTTGGGTCTCTCTCTCTCTCTCTCTCTATATATATATACATGCAGAGTTTTTAACCACTTCAATACCGGCACTTATACCCCCTTCCTGCCCAGGCCAATTTTCAGCTTTCATCGCTGTCGCACTTTGAATCACAATTGTGCGGTCATTCAACACTGTACCCAATAGAAATTTTTCATATTTTTTTGCTAAATAAAACAAAAATCACCTGAAACTTTTGAAAAAAAAACAAAAAAAAAAAAAAAAAAAAACGCACTTTTCTTCGTTTCGGTATAAAATTTTGCAAATAAATAAAATGTCTTCATAAATTTAGGTCAAAATGTATTCTGCTACATTTCTTTGGTGATAATAATAGTAATTGAATTTGTATTTTTTTTTTCAAATGTTTCTATTTTTTTTTTATTTTTTATTACTTTTTTTTTACTATTTTATTTTTCAGCACACTCTGACCAAAGCAATACAATTTTACCATAATAACATTCAACTACTCTGGGCAAGTGATCAGTATTTTTTTAACACATTATGATTGCTAATACCAATGTATTTCATTGATATTTGCAATCATTGTTACTGAATGTCTTTTTTGTGATTAGCTGTGATTGGGCAAAGCTGATCACATGATACAGATGGGCTGTGATTGGCCCTGTCTGTATCATGTGACTGCCTTGACCAGTCACAGGTAACAACTTAATTGTATACAATGGATGGCATGACAGGAAGCCATCCATTGTATACAATTGACATGTGATCTGCTGTGATTGGTCACAGCGGTCACATGACACTGGCAACGGGCCTCTGTAGTGATATGTCATTGGCTGTGTCTCGTGGCAGATCACGCTGCTGCGTGGTCCCGCAACTGCCTGAGTGGCTCTTTTTGACAGGACGTCATAAGACGCCCAGTCACATCAGCAAGTGTCCCAACCAGCCTTCAATCTGCTATAGGCTGGGCGGAAAGGTGTTAAATTGTTCCAATTCTGTCTTATGTACAGTAAGTCAGGGAAATTCCACAGTGAGAAGTGTCTTGTGTAAAACTGCATGGTGATGGCACTTGGACCAAGCACAACTTCTTGAGTCTGTATATTGACCACAGAGAGCACTGTAAATAACCAGAGTTAAAGAGTAGGAAGTCACTAGCACTCCAAAAATGTGTTTTTATGAATTATTGTGAGTTTATAATGTCACAATGGTCAAACTGCTGTTGTTTCAGGACCTTGCAGGATTCCTTTCCTCAGGATGACTCAGTAATAAATGCCATTAAAGTGATGCAAACACATATATAGTGCAAGACAATCTATATTAATCAGTGTCCCCCACTGTAAAGTGATGTCCTATTCCCCCCCCCCCCCCCATATTATGCGAAAAGCCAAAATGAGGAATAACATAACTATAAGCAACAGAAATGTGCTATCCAAATGTAAAATAACAGAGGTGCAACATATGCATGTGTACTCCACTTTATTAAAGATTCCTGGATATCACAATTACTGCAGAGAGGTCTAGCAAGGGAAGAAGTACTGCTAGGCAATGGATGTTTTCTGACCAGCCCAGTCTGTAGATCCCTAGTAGGCGATAGTGAATAGATATATGGAGATGTTATTGTTCATGCAGATTGACATACAGTAATGCTGATCATAGGTTGACTGGCCCCTGCCAAGACATTTTGTTGTGGATTGTACACAAATAACAATTTAAAACAAATGCTAAACACCCTGACAGAAAACTTACTGTATTCAGGTTTAATCAGTAAGGCATTGTTATGGGACGGGTTTGGATGTCTACTGATTGGCTACCTAGAATAGATGGCCATTTTACAGAACTGCTTGCACACTGATCCCACTTCCTGCATTGATTCAGTCCTGAGGCCAAAGCTGGAGAAGGGGAAACACTATCAGTTACCAGCCATGCCTAGAGCTGCCCACAAATATTTACATAACACACTGATCTACCTGCAGGAGCTTAGAGAAATGATGTAGAACTTCTGAAATAAATGCGTCCTGGCTGGATGTTGCAGGAGACAAAAGGACTGGTCTTGTGCGGGGAGGATTGGTGGGTAAGGTGAGTATATCTTCGGTGTCCTCTCCCTTAGACTGAAACGAGCATTTAATGCGTGCAGTGCAGGCACAGCCCCAGTGCATGGTCAAGAAAAAAGTTCCCGGAATTCTGCTTTAAATAAATCTTTTTTCTTTTATGATGATGTAAGTAAAAACCTAGACAATGGAGTAACTAGTGGATATGATATACTTGGACTTTTCAGATGGCTACTTAAAGTGCTAGTTAAAGTGTTGCTAAACCCAGGACTCTGCATTCACTATATCTGGTCTCCCACAGGACACAGAACATGGAAATGCAATTATTTTAGTAAATATAAACTGCTAAATACCTTTTCTCATCAGCAGTTAGAGCAGTCTTGTGACTGCAGCAGAGCACTGGTTTTCTTTCTGCTCTAGGAGGATGTGAAACCTCTGACCCCCTGTTTGGACAGTGCTGATTGGCCCTGTGCTGATCACATGCACTCTCCCAAGAAATACACACCAAACTGAACATGCTCATGTGACCACGGATTCAGTTTGTATCAGGTGGTCATTTCAACAAGAGGAGGGGCAGGTAAGAAAGGATCAAACAGCCTTTTTATACAATGCAGAGAATTAACCCCTTAGGTTCCACAGTGAGTATAACAAGCATGCTTTACTGCATACACAGACTGATTTTACTGTTGTGGGTTTCTGAGTGCTGCTTTGTGCGTGACTTTGTGAGTACTGCTTTGTACCTGACTTTGTGAGTTCTGCTTTGTATGTGACTTTGTAAGTACTGCTTTGTACCTGACTTTGTGAGTACTGCTTTGTACGTGACTTTGTGAGTACTGCTTTGTACGTGACTTTGTGAGTGAGTACTTGCTTTGTGAAATATTTTTTTTTTTTACGTGACTTTGTAGTACTGCTTTGAAACTGTCTTTGTGAGTACTGCTTTGTAACTGGGCGTGTGCATACAGCCTTCTAACTGGCTTTTTAACCACTTGCCCCAGGCACTTTTACCCCCTTCCTGCCCAGGCCAATTTTCAGCTTTCAGCAAAAGAATGATACATGACTTCTGTTTCAACGCGAAACATGTCATTTTCACACCTGCAAATCTTGTAGTGTTTCCATTTTTATTATTTTATATATATATATATATATATATATATATATATATATGTATATATATACACTGCTCAAACAAATTAAAGGAAAACTTTTTAAACACTTGCCTACTGGGCACTTATACCCCCTTCCTGCCCAGGCCAATTTTCAGCATTCAGCGCTGTCGCACTTTGAATGACAATTGTGCGGTCATGCAACACTGTACCCATATGAAATTTTTATTATTTTTTTCACACAAATAGAGATTTCTTTTGGTGGTATTTACTTGCTACTGGGTGTTTTATTTTTTGCGCTATAAACAAAAAAATAGCAAAACAATTGAAAAAAAAGTTTTTCTTTGTTTCTATTATAAATTTTTGCAAACAGGTAATTTTTCTCCTTTACTGATGTGCATTGATGAGGCTGCACTGATAGGCAGCACTGATGGGCACTGATGAGGTAGCACTGATAGGCGGCATTGATAGGTGGTACTGATGATGCGGCACTGATAGATGGCACTGATGGGCAGCACTGATGGGTGGCACTGGTGGGCAGCACTGATGGGTGGCACTGCAGGGCACAGGTGGGTGGCCCTGATGGGCACATGTAGTTGGCACTGCAAGGCAAAGGTGGGTGGCATTGTTGGGCAAAGGTAGGTGGCACTGCTGAGTGGAACAGGTGGGTGGCGCTGATGGGCACATGTGGGTGGCACTGCTAGGCACAGGTGGGTTGCACTGATGGGTACAGGTGGGTGGCACTGCTAGGCACAGGTGAGTGGCACTGCAGGGCATGTGGGTGGCACTGATGGGCACAGGTGGGTGGCACTGATGGTTACAGGTGGGGGGCACTGATGGGTACAGCTGGGTGGCACTGCTGGGAACAGGTGGATGGCACAGGTGGGCGGCACTGATGATCAGTGCTGATCCCTTTGCTGACAACTGCCGAGAACCGGAAGCATGAGGAAAGTGCAGTCGAGAACCGGCAACTGAATTTACCTGGTGATCTGCTGTGCCATTGTACACAGCTGATCACATGGTAAAAGGCCACCATGATTGGCCGTTTATCCTACCCCGTGATCAGCTGTGTCCATAGGACACAGCGATCACCGGCGGCGCCGGGTGCACGCCGCTGGGGGGCGCGCAGGGGGGGCGGGTTTTAGAATGACGTCCATGGATATTGTCTCCGGATTCCACAACCACACTGTAGCCATCCTTCGGCTAGAGCGCGGTTGGGAAATGGTTAAGTATAGATTTCTAACTGGCTTTAGAAATACTGCTTTGTAACTGGCTTTGTAAGTACAGCTTTATAACTGGCTTTGTGAGTACAGCAAAGCCAATTATAAAGCAGTACTCACAAAGCTTGTTATAAAACTATTCTTGCAAAGCCAGTTACAAAAGAGCACACACCAAGCTGTTTACAAAGCAGTACTCACAAAGCCAGTTACACAGCAGTATGTACTGTACAAAGCGGAATACAAAGCAGTACTCACAAAGCCAGTTACAAAGCAGTATGTACTGTACAAAGTGGAATACAAAGCAGTACTCACAAAGCCAGTTATACAGTAGTACATACAAAGCCAGTTTACAAAGCAGTACTTACAAAGCCAGTTATACTTACTGCTATAGGCTCCATACACACTGGGCATTTTAATAACGCTGGTAGCGTTAGCTGTGTAAAGTCATGTTAAAGTGTAAATGGAAGATTGCCATCCGTTAACATCCATTCCATTTATGTCCATATATTGGCAAGAAACATATTTTGTTTATATTTCGTCACCTCTGAATGGTCTCTGCAACTACCAAGAAAAAAAGAGATGCAAAAACCGATGTAGACTAATGCAAACTGAACTAAAGTGTTATAAACGAGCATAAATTGAACTGAACTGAAGTGAAAGATAACACAAGAAAGAAAAGCAAAACCAGCGCTCAGGTCCATAAATGTCCCAGGAACACGGGTAGCAGTCACTCGCTAAGGTGCAGCCCTCTAAAGATCGGGGGATCTTGATAATACTGGAAAAAAGCAAAAAAGGGCGCACTCTCCTCGAGCATTACTGTGATAAAAAAGAATTTATTGAAAATGACAAAAGTATATACTCGCAAACCAAGAGTCATATATACAAGCAAGGAACCAATATGACAGTCCCAGCAAATAGCTGTCTTGCGACAGCCTCCTGCTCCCGTATATAGGCTTCAAACATGTATAGTTGTTTCAGCACTGAGGAAGGGAGTTCGTCTCCTGAAACGTATTAGCATACCCTGTTGCAAGACAGTCATTTGCGGGGGCTGTCAAATTGGTTCCTTGCTTGTATACATGACTCTTGGTTTGTGAGTATATACTTTTGTAATTTTTGCTTTTTTCCTAAAATGAAGTGCAAACTGATGTAAACTGAACTGAAAACAGGTGTGTGCAAACTGATATAAACTGAATCTATGTTTTCTTTAAAAAAAAAAAACATGACTGAATTGATGACTCCCATCTTAAAGGGGGCATAGTAGTACTGAGAAAACCTGTCAAATGCAAAGCCTGTTACATACCTTTTTCACAGCTTCAGCTTTTCTGGATACGATGGTCTCTCCTCCAGTTTAGCCAGGCACATGGCTGTTGAGGGAGATGAGTGCTGAGAGACAGCAGGTGTACACTGATTAGAAAAGCCTGGCCATGATCTGGCTCAGGCTAAAAGACCGATGTGCTACAGAGGGTGAGAAAAGAAAAGTGCATAACTGCTATAACAATAAGAGAGCTGTCTGGCCCTGACACCGACTGCTTCACTGGACTGGTCAAGAAGGGTACTACTGATACTCCCTGGAAAAGAACTGGGTGGAAGAGAGGTAGGCATGAATCAGCTTTGCTGCCAGTTTTCATGTGTGGGAGATGGGTCTCCCAGGATTGCTCTTGCTTCCCATTCCAAGTACAGCCATACTACCTCTAGCATGTGTGCTGGGAGTTGCCAACCTCTACTTTATACTATTTTCATAACTTTTTTGTCATCATGTCTACTAATATTTTACTATACTGTATCTTCTTCTAACTTTTGATTATTGCTCTTCTTTCCACATGTGACCAAACATCACAGTGATAATACCTTTAATAAGTGCACTCCACTTATTGTCCTTACCTTAATATAGCCCCCAGGAGTAATGTTTATGGTTGCCTGGATACTTTTGTACCCTTGTTGGTTGTTGTTTCTAGGTAATTACAGGTCAGTATCATGAACAGACATAATTTGTGAGTAGAGAGCAGCTCAGGTGTGATGTTACTTCTGGTTGGAAAGCAGTCTTGACATTGACAAACTGTGGGATATCAGCTGAATGGTGTACTATTTATACTAGTATTCAGAGAGTATGAGAATAACAAAAAGCTTTTTGAGAACGCGCATGGGCACGAAACGCGTAAGGGAGGTACCCTACCCTGTGACATCACTCACGGTCCACGTAGACGGCCGGTGGCCATTTTGACTACTGTCATTTTACTATAATGTGAGTGTGTTTTTTCTTATACTACTATCCCCATAATCTAATAAAGTACTACACTATGGGAATCTTTTCTGCTCTGACTCTTTGTTATGAGCCCCCCCTAAGGAGATCCTTGGTGACCCCGCATTACCTACATGTGTGGTTCCCCCTGGTGTTGAATGAGTGTACTCCTGGTGCCTGGATGTCCTGATGGTGTGCTGCCTGCTCAGCTGATGCTCACTAGATGACCCCCAGTGTTCCAGCTACCAGATGATGATGACCAGGAGTTGGTCTTAATATACTCAAATGTTCATTGATTTGCTCTTTCTGGTTAGTGCAATCTACACTTATTTTCTCAACACTATTATCACGGATTCCCACCAATATACTGTGATTGAACTTTGGATTAATTTCACTTTATGCACCCTATAAACGCCAACTCTGGACGTTTTTCACATGTGTATTTTTGCAACGCCACAGTGCGCTTATCTACTTGTTTACTTGCTTTGATTGCTGTTATAGGTCATATTATAATTACCATATAGTCACTTATTTTAACACAATATTTATGTTATACTGATAACAATTGGACCTTTTTGTATATATTTTATATGCTTCATGCTCCGATTACATTATTAGCTCTGCATGTTTATATTATATGATTTTACAGAAGGTTTTTAGAGGTTTTTACCTTTCATGCTAGCAGCTCTTTTACCCCATCCAGCGCTCGTTTATCACCTTTTTAATACACCACTGGGTTCTATTTTGCTGGAAAACCATTTGGAGTTCCTTCTCTATGTGTCAAGAAAAACGTAAACATTCCTTATGCTACACCTGCCTAATAAATACATTGGACTAGCACATCTTGCCAAAACACAGTCAATGGTCATGTTCTATCCATAGGATACCATATTTCAATAACTTTTGTGCAGGTGTCTGTTGGAATCTTGGCCAGTTTTCCCTTTACCATTATCTAGGTAAGTACATTTTTGGCAGCCGCAATTCTTATAACTGAGAATTTCATGCTTTAACAATAGTTTCTTAATAATAATTTCTTATTGCTAAAGTCCCAATTATTTCAAGCTACTGTTTAATTAACCAAGCTTCAACACTGTTGCTTAGAA